AAACCACTAAAAACTCAACTATTTAGTCTCCACTACACTTCCTAATCTGCAATTGCCTCTCTGGATATACCACTAACTGTACTCAAATAAAATAAAATAAATAAATAAATAAAAAATGTACTAATGCTTTCCTTCTTAGACTTTACACACCTGAAACTCGCCTACAGCACTTCTTCATTGTTGCTCTTATAGTCGTGTAAATTGCTTCCTTGTCCTCATTTGTAAGTCGCTTTGGATAAAAGCGTCTGCTAAATGACTAAATGTAAATTATAGAAGCTGTCATTCATACACCATACTCAAGGTCTTGGTCTCTTGTTTATCTTAGCATCCACGTTGGATAAAAGAACGGCATCTTAACTCTGTCGCTCCCGAAATGGATTTGCCGTTTAATGTATAGTAAATCAGACTCATTCACAGTAGCGTCGCTAATCTGCCATTTCTCTGTGGATAAGGTGTATAAATGTAGAGCTCTCTGTGGTTTTGATGTAAATGAAGAGCGAATGTTCTAATCTGTGTGTTTTGTTCCTCCAGAAAGCGATCGGCTCATATTCCTGTGGACGTGTCTGTTGTTTTGAGCTGAAATGGATGTAAAAAGCTTCATCCTGTCAGAAAGCGGTCTGTGAAAACTGGAGCCAATGGTAAGTGTTAATGCTTCATTACACAGTCAAACAACATCAGACAATGAACACACACACGCACACACAGTTGTATATGTGGTTTATGCTGACTTTTTTAAGGCGTAATGTATTTTATACTGTAAAAAAACACCTTACCCAACCTCTACCCCTAAACCCAACCTTTAAAGAAACCTGTGGCAAATTTGATTGTCAAAAAATTAAGTAAGTTCTTAAGTGTTTCTCATAAACCACCTTAATCGAGTATAACTAGATCATACCCATATCATACAAATGAGTGTCCTTGTACTGTAAATCACATAAACTAGTACACACACACACACACACACACACACACACACACACACTTGTATATGTGGTTTACGAGGACTTTCTGTAAAGGTAATGTTAATGTACTATATACTTTAAAACAGGTCATACCATGTCATTATAAAAATGCGTATTCTTTACTAATGCACATTTGTTAAACTCTCATTGGGTAGATTGTCCATCCATCCATCCATCCATCCATCCATCCATCCATCCATCTGTGTATCTATCCATCCATCCAAACTATCCATCCATCCATCCATCCAACTATCCATCCATCCATCTATCTATCCATCCATCCATCCATCCATCCATCCATCCATCCATCCATCCATCCATCTGTTCATTCATCCATCCATCCATCCGTCTGTGTATCTATCCAACTATCCATCCATCCAACTATCCATCCATCCATTTATTCATCCATCCATCTGTTTATCCATCCATCCGTCCATCCATCTGTTTATCTATCCATCTGTCCATCCATCTATCTATCTATCCATCCATCCATCCATTCCATCCATCTGTTTATCTATCCATATATCCATCCATCCATCCATCCATCCATCCATCCATCCATCCATCTAACGGAATTAAAATAAATATTTGGAGGTAACAAAGTAAGGGAAGAACTCAATTAAGTTTAAATATAAGAAAAACAATCCTCCAAAATTAAATCAAAACCATTAAACCTGAACTAATAAAATTAGTTAACATTCAAAATGTTAGTAAATGCCATTATAGAATATGAATAATATGACAATGACATTGTTTGTGTTGAATTTAGGATATTAAAGGCCAGTGCTGGACGGATGAAGAATCGGATGGAGAGAATGAACCAGAGCAGTTCCTGTACGGCATCCAGGTAAAATGGTTCATTTAGGAGGGTGTGATATTGACAAAAATATACATCTTATTATTTTGGGGGTATTATTTTATTTTGCTGAGTATGATTTTGTGTTTCTACTTTAATGTTTTTAATGTGTTTGTTGTAATAGCTTTCATCATCCAGTCAATATTTTTGCACAGTGTTTTTATTTTTATTTTTAAACTAAGGGATAAACTCCATAATATCAGATGATGTAAATGATATTAGTAATGTTACCTTTATTGTGCAGCACCACAAGTTACATTTATATGTTTACTTTTCATCAATTATTGCCTGTTGGTATAATGGATGTCAGTTGAAGTGTAATACCGCGGTGTTCCTGTAGGGGAGCTGTGCAGCGGATTTGTACCGTCACCCACAACTGGACGCTGACATTGAGGCTGTAAAAGACATTTACACAGACAGTGCTGTGTCTGTCAGGTGAGATTAACCTCACTCCACTTCTGATCCACATTCACTGCACATTCAAACCCTATTCACATTCACTGCACTTTCACATCCGATTCAAATTCACTGTGATTCACATCCGATTCACATTCACTGCATGTTCAAACCTGATTCACATTCACTGCACTTCCACACCTGATTCAAATTCACTGCATGTTCAAACCTTATTCGTATTCACTGCAATTTCACATCCAATTCACATTCACTGTGATTCACACATTATACGCATTCCTTATTCACACTGATTCTCAATCTCTGTGATCCACATACGATTCACATTCAATGCATGTTCAAACCTGGTTCATATTCAGTGTACTTTCACACCCAATTCACACTGTGATTCCCAGGTGATTTACGTTCATTTCACATTCACACCTGATTCACATTCATTGTGATTCAAACTGATTCACGTTCTCTATGATTCACACCCGATTCACATTCACTGCATGTTCACACCTGATTCACATTCATTGTGAATCATAGATGATCGAAGTTAATTTAGCTTTCTCATCTGATTCACATTCACTGTGATTTACACTGATTCACAGTCTTTGTGATTTACACCTGATTCACATTCACTGCACATTCACACCCAATTCACATTCACTCTGAATCACACATGATTCAAGTTAATTTAGCTTTCTTACCTGGTTCACATTCACTGCGATTCACACGTGATTCACAATCAGTGTATTTCACACCCGAATTACATTCACTGTGATTCAGATTCATTTTGCTTTCACACCTGATTCACGTTCATTTCGCATTCACACCTGATTCACTGTGGTTATTCACATTAATTGCACATTTAAACCCAATTCACTACACTTTCATACCCAATTCATATTCACTGTAATTCACACATGATTCACATTCATTTCCCATTCCTTCCTGATTCACATTCACTGTGATCCACACTGATTCCATTACTGTTATTCACACCTGTTTCACACTTGCTGTCATTTACACCTGATATGCATTCAGTGTACATTCAAATCTGAATTACATTCGCTGTGATTCACATATGATTCACATTTATTTCGCATTCACACCCAAATTACAGTCATTGTGATTCACACCTAACTCACAGTCACTCTGATTTAAACTGATTCACATATTCTATGATTCACATTGATTCACACTTGATTCACTTTCTCTTTTTTCACACCTGATTTGCATTCACTGTGAGTCTTTTTGCTGTGCCTACAGAGAGTATGGTACGATCGACGATGTGGACATCGACCTGCAAATCAACATCAGCTTCTTGGATGTAGGACCAAACACTTCTATATAACCCACTCAAATAATCAGTGGTGAGATGTGAATGAAAGCATGTGTTATTTCTCAGGAGGAGGTTGCGAATGCGTGGAAGGTGATCCGGACAGAACCCATCGTCTTACGCCTGCGCTTCTCTCTTTCACAGTATCTGGATGGACCAGGTGAGAAGTGTTCACACCTCTGCGTGTGTGTATGAGAGGATAAATTGTAAACTTATTTAATTAATCCTTGCAGAACCGTCTGTGGAAGTGTTCCAGCCGTCTAATAAAGAAGGCTTCAGTTTGGGCCTTCAGCTGAAAAAGTAAGTTTGCTAATGTTATTCATTAATATTATTTTATTCAACAAGGACGCATTAAATTGATCTATTTTTTTATTCACAGAAAACATTTGATCTATTTTACATTGCAGTAATCTTTCACTGTTTTGTTTATTGTATTGATGATCGAATATACACAGCTTTAGTAAGCACTAGACATAAAAATCTAGTCAGTAAGGCTGAATGAAGATTTATTTCTCAGTTTTATTATGGAGCCATTTGGATTTTGATAATAAGTGTGTGTGTGTGTGTGTGTGTGTGTGTTCAGGATCCTCAGCACGTTCACGTCTCAGCAGTGGAAACACCTCAGTAATGAGTTCCTCAAGGCGCAGCAGGAGAAGCGGCACAGCTGGTTTAAAGCTGGAGGAACCATCAAGAAGTTTCGTGCAGGACTGAGCATCTTCTCCCCCATTCCTAAGTACATCATTACAAGCCATGAATGCGAAACACCGTACTCATTATAAAATTTGCAAGAAAAAAAATAAGATTGAATGAAAACCTGCAGTATAATTAAATTTGCAAGGAATTTTTTAAAGAGTTGAGAGGTTCGCCTTGAAACATTTTCATTTTGTTTCATGCTATTAGTTGTGTTGTTAGAAAATTCAAGCGTTTTCTTAGGCCCCGTTTACACTAGTGCGTTTTAGTTTTAAAACGGCGTTTTAGAATGAAAACGATCCGCGTCCACACTCGCGTTTTACCCAGCGTTTCTGAACTGCTCTCCGTCCACACCAAAACGCTGAAAACGCACATCACGTGACCACACACACACACTTTGCCAATCGCTGGAGCCCATCTACCCAGATGAGAGCTCTGCTAGTCGGACTTCTCATCAAGCATCTCCCGCTGGATCTAATCTCACTATATTTATTAAACGGGATATTTCATTCATCTTGTTGTCTTTATCTAACGACATATTCCCTGACTTTGGTCATTGGAATCTATTACTTGTTCTCAGGTAACGTGTTTTGGCTGAGCGCAAAGATAAGTTAATGATTAATGTAACCACGTAGCCTACATTCTGTATATTGACTGATCGCTTGCCTTTATTTCCTATAATGTATAAACTTATTGTATGTTATAATTTATAATGGCCATTATCGATTATTAAAACTGATATTCAGCAAAAGAGAGGCTGTGTTTCGTATTTTCACTGAAATTGAAAGGAGGCAGTGTTGTTATCGGCTCCGTGTTGTTATAAATATCCACACAGTGAAGATGACGCTCATGCAGCACGACGCCTCAACATTTCTGCTGTCTGTTTAGTTGTTAATATTAAAATTAAAATAGGCAGTTCCTTATACCAAGTTTACATTTTATTGTTGAGAAAGTGAAACAACGTAGCCAAGGTGATGTGAATGAAGTTATAAAGTACACTGTTCCCTGTGAAGATTGACGCATGTCCTCGGTATGTTTTCCATATCAAACTTAGAAGAAGAGATGCAGCCTTGATCAAACTTGCGAAGTCTGAACTTACACGGAGAAGATTCAGGACTGAACTGTGTGTTAGGCTACTTAATATTGAGGAAAAGCCCCAATCAGAGAGGCGAATGTCTGCAGCCCCGCCTCCGTTTTCAGATGTCTCCGTCTTTCCCCATCCACACTGAGACGGAGCAGCAGCGTTTCAGAATGAAAACGGCCTCTCCAGCGTTTTCGAAACGCTCCGTTTTCGGCGCTCGAGAACTCCGGCGTAGTGTGGACGGATGGCGTAACCGTAGCAAAACTTATGCGTTTTCAAACTAAAACGCACTAGTGTAAATGAGGCCTTAAAGGGCCATGAAAGCCCCTTGTTTCAGCAGGGTGTTTTCACACCTCTACTTTGGAAAAAGTCAGAAAAGTGGGCGTGTCCAGCTCTGTTTAGGGGGGAGTGTCGGAGGAACTTAAGAGGCATGGTGTGGGAGTGTCTATTTGGGCACCCGCTGAGTTTCAGAGTCAAAACACACACACACACACACACACATGGGAGAAAGAGACTGTGTTTACATGGACATCTGCAGTCGAATTATTTGCCAAATTATTAAATGGTGGACTTTAACTGCAGTTTGGCTCTTTCATTTAGGAATTTCATTCATGTCCCTCACGACAAACAAGATATTTGACTCGAGGATCTGCTCTAAGCGTGTATTTTTCATGCAATGTTTGATACCGCACGGCGAATGAGAGAAAAAAACTCTGCATTTCCCGGAAACTTAGATGCACACAGCAGGTAGCGTCAGAAATCTGCGTGTGTTATTCCGGTCACTAAATGCGGTGAAAACCCTACACGAGGTTAAAGTTTGGTTGTGGTGCTAACATGTTTACACTCGGTGCAATAGTTAGTTCGAAACCAACAAACTGAATAAACAGAGCACTGCTCGCTCACTTACCAAATCTGTAGAGACAGGACAATCACCAGCAACTAGAGCCGCGTCTTTATTAGGAGGAGACTAAAGCGAATCCGGATCTCAGCGTTTGCAGATGAGAACAGCTCTCAGGTAAACAATAATCCTCCTTAGACGCGTAAGTTATTGTTGTCGCGCGTCGCGTACACTGTTAATCCACACGTGAGTCCAGCTGAGCTCTCACAGAGAGAAAATGAAAACAAAACTTCACTGCAGCAAACTATAAAAGCAACACTTCACACTTGTTTTGCCAACACAACGTGGCGTCTCTGTCGTGTAAACACTCTGACAGTAATGAATATTAATGAAGTTGCACAATAGAGCGCGCTGATTGGTTTGAACCAAGCCTTAATCATGCATTAATGCAGCACACTGTAAGACGTAATAAGACACACTCTGGCACAGACGTCCAGTCTGCACGCTGGAATACACGCTATTATCTCATGACCGTGACGCAGATACAAAAATTTGTTTCAAACCAGAAGTACGAATTTGCTTGAAATAACGCAAAAACAACCAATTTACACTTTTTAGTGAGATATAGGTGTCCTAATAGTGTTTTTAGCAGTGTGGGACACATATACCACTGTCAACTGCTCAACACATGTGTTCTGGTGTTTCGTGACCCTTTAATTTGTTGGCATTGTGAGATAATGCAGGATGTTTTTTATTGTATTTTGCCATGTGAGGATATGCTGCCAAACCAGGATGTATTCCTAATTTGCTGGTGTTTTTTGTAATTGCATGTGTTTTCTTTAATTACAGCATGTAAAGCTCTCTCGTCCACCATACAGTAGTCAGGGAATTTGACATATGGCTTTGAGCAGGAACCCTGCTTAATGAGACTAATCAGCATGCCCTCCATGTTGGCTCCAGGTCTCCCAGTTTCCCCCTGATCCAGGACACAGTTCTGAAGGGAAAGCTGAGCGTCCCGGAGCTGCGGGTCACACGACTGATGAACCGCTCCATCTCCTGCACCATGAAGAGCCCTAAAGGAGAACTGTTCAGCTACCCTCCAAACAGCCAGGTCAGCAGCTTCCAGCACACACACATACACTCTCTGTCCCAACACACACAACATTTTCTGCCTGGACGCAGTGGTGGACAAGATTTAACCCTTGTGTACTGTTCAAATGGACTCCCTTTTGGTTATGTTGGGGGCTGTTTTTGCCCTATTGACTTTCATTATAGCCATGTGTTGATGGCCATGACAGCATATAACAGCTTATCTAGATTTTCTCAGACTTGGTAAGTGCACAAACATGTGCAAAACATACAACTCTATATAAAAGCCAGAAAATAAGCTTTTTTTTGCACTGCAATTGATGAACAGCAGCAAAAATGACAACAGGGAAAACCAGAAACAATCAAGAATGTATGATTATATGCTGTCATGGCTTTGTAATGAAAAAATGTGATTATACTGGAAGTCAGTGGATCAAAAACAGCTATTTTAACTCTGGGAGTCAATTTGCCCAGATTGTATAGAGTTTTTTTTTTAATTAAAAAAATTCCCAAAATATGTGTCAAAATAAGCTTTGTTACCAGAAATCATCACACATCCTGAAACACAGAGAAAGCTGTGGTCAAATTAAGACTCAAAGTGAATGAAAACTTCCCAACAGCACACATCCTGGGTTAATCAGCTATTACAGCTCAGTACAATCTTTTGTGTCTAACATTTTACATGTTACATCAAATAGGCATGTAATAAGCGGGACAAAGTACATCCAGGATGGTTGTTTTTATAGAATAAACTATTCAGTATAAACAACAGTGCTCTGCTTCACATCAGGCTGCCGATAATCCTGTTGGGCTTTATTTTGTGATAACAGCCACTTGGATGTACTTTGTTACACAACTACTTGCCATGATACCTAAAAATAGAAACCAAAACGGCTGAATAGAGCATGCACTAACCTATATTATTCAGTCACAAGATGGCACCAAACTGTAAAAAAAAACAGCAACACGACAGAAGAAAATATAGATAGATGGATAGATAGATAGATAGACAGACAGACAGACAGAAAGACAGACAGACAGACAGACAGAATGATGGACGGACGGACTGACTGACTAATAGATGGATAGATAAATGGATGGACAGACGGATAGATGGATGGAAGGATGGATGGACGGATGACCAGACGGATGGACGGATAGATGAAGGGATGGACGGAAAAAAAGCTGGATGGATAGATAGATAGATAGATAGATAGATAGATAGATAGATAGATAGATAGATAGATAGATAGATAGATAGATAGATAGATAGATAGATAGATAGATAGATAGATAGATAGATAGATAGATAGATAGATAGACAGACAGACAGACAGAATGACGGACGGACAGACAGACTGACGGACTAATAGATGGATAGATAAATGGATGGATAGATGGATGGAAGGATGGATGGACAGACGACCAGACGGATGGAAGGATAGATGAAGGGATGGACGGACAAAAAGCTGGATGGACAGAAAGAAAGATAGATAGATAGATAGATAGATAGATAGATAGATAGATAGATAGATAGATAGATAGATAGATAGACAGACAGACAGACAGAATGACGGACGGACAGACTGACGGACTAATAGATGGATAGATAAATGGATGGATAGATGGATGGAAGGATGGATGGACAGACGACCAGACGGATGGACGGATAGATGAAGGGATGGACGGACAAAAAGCTGGATGGATGGATGGACGGATAGATAGATGGATGGGTGGGTGGGTTGATTGATTGATTGATTGATTGATTGATTGATTGATTGATTGATTGATTGATTGATTGATTAATTGGTTGGGAACAACAGATCTGGGAACATATCATAACATATTTTGGATGTCGTGACTGACCAATCAGGTATAATGTGTTATTGACACTTGCTTGCACACTTGAATCACCCTGTCAGTATGGTCAGCAGTAATATTTTAATTTATTAGTGTATGTGTACTTTTACTGGAGTGTCTGATTTGTGTGCTTGGTCCTCCTGCCCGTGAGCCTCGCCTGACGGGCAGACGGCTCTGTCCCATAATGCTCTTCTCCGTTGACCCATCAGACTGTGGCCGTCCCGGCGGGCAGGGCTCCTGCGCAGATTACCACACGCCAGCTGATTGAGTTGTTTTTCTCATCCCAGGCGGGCGGACACTGCAAGAACATCCCCACGCTGGAGTACGGCTTCCTGGTGCAGGTACCAGAACAACGGCAGTAACACTACACTCATTACTGCAGTCATTACTACATTCATTAGTGCATTCATAACTGCATTCATTAGTGCAATCATTAGTGCATTCAACACTGCAATCATCAGTGCAATCATCAATGCATTAAACACTGCAATCGTCACTGCAATCGTCAGTGCAATCATCAATGTATTAAACACTGCAATCGTCACTGCAATCGTCAGTGCAATCATCAATGTATTAAACACTGCAATCATCACTGCAATCATTAGTGCAATCATCAATGCATTAAACACTGCAACGGTTAGTGCAATCATCAATGTATTAAACACTGCAATCATCACTGCAATCATTAGTGCAATCATCAATGCATTAAACACTGCAACGGTTAGTGCAATCATCAATGCATTAAACACTGCAACGGTTAGTGCAATCATCAATGCATTAAACACTGCAACTGTTAGTGCAATCATCAATGCATTAAACACTGCAACTGTTAGTGCAATCATCAATGCATTAAACACTGCAACTGTTAGTGCAATCATCAATG